CTATATTTCAGATTGAGGACACTTTTATTTGACTCACTGAGGAGTGGATTAAGTTAATTGCAATAAAACCATTCTTCTTCACGTCACTAAAGCATTGCAATCAACTATCTGTTATTATGTGTATCCTATTTTTTCCAATAAATAAACAGATAAGAGTAGATCCTTTTGAAGCTGGAAATATTCATTGCGTCAAGGGAAAATCAGTTTAATACAGGAATGTTTCCGAGCGAACGTTAAGGAGTGGATCAGTTGTAATAACCACCACTGATCGCGTCTATAAACCTTACGCATTGGTGTGATGCTGCCGAAGATAACTAATACTTTTTTTTCTGATGAATAGTGAAACAGGATGAAATTAATGGCTATTTCGTCAACAAATTATGAGTGGCTCTGATTGAAAAGGTCACTACTATGCAAGTCAAACTTAGAAGACATAAAGACTCATAGTAAAAGATAAATAAGTTATTTCCGAGGAAAAAGTTGAAAAATATTTGTGTGGCCAATGTTTTATATGGACAATATTTTAATAATTTTCTTGAATTTCCATTTGTATTTAGTTACATTAGAAAAGTAATGATTTTGACATTTCTATGCATATCATTAATTTGTTTTAGGGAAAAAACTATTTAATATCAATCAACAAACTAGATGATGGGAACTTCGGCAAGGTCTGCTTGGAGGAAATAATAAAGCTTCTGAATGGGACCCGTGAAAATCTATTACACATTATTATTTTGGATGCTTGCAGAACAGATAAAGATAATGATACATGGAAACCGAATTCAATCAAAGTCGGATCATATTCCACATCAGCATTTAGTGAATCATTAAAAAAAGAAACTTGTTTACCATCTGGTTCACAATTCGCTCTGATATTTGCATCGGATCCTGGCAGAGATTCCTACGGCGGTCCAGTCGGTGGAAATAGTATTTTAACATCGGCATTATTAAACCATTTGGAAAGAACAAACACGATTCTTGAAGAAATGATGATATACGTAAAGAAAGAGATAGAGCAAAAAACAAAGGGGAGACAATTTGCATGGATTAATTCTCGTCTAACAGAAGCATTTTACTTCAAGAAAGGTTGGTAGTGAAGTCATTTTATATTGAATTATTGTGTTCACTTATTACATCATGCTCTCATGAAAGGCTTAGTATAGTCTATTCTAACTCATTTAAAAAAAATTGCGAAGATTGGTCATCTGTTGACAAATTTAAAGAAATAAATGGATCAGAACGCATTGATACAAGTTCAGAATATAGTTTTTGGATGTAGTGCGAGCCCATTCATAGGCCAATGACACTTCTTCTTATGTATTACAATAGATACAAGAAATATGCAAAATTAGCTCGGAAATCCACGTGTGTCTGTTTAAAAAACTCCTCATTGCTTAGAACACTCAAATTTCATATGTTGTGCGTTTCGTTTCATGGGAACTATCAATAGTGTAAGACCTGAAAGTTGAATCCAATAATTGAAACCTCATTTCAATTATTCCTTTCTAAAATAGTTGAAGTTCAACTATTTGAATTATTTGAATTATTCAGTTATTGAAACTCCCTTCCCCACACCCTCAGCTAGGTGCTATGCTGTGAGAGTGAACGAATGGAAACTAGAGACACCATGAAATTCAATAGTTGAATAGTTGAAATGATTGAATAATTGAATTCAATTTTCAGGCTTGATATGTATTGAAAATCTAAGGATGGACCGACTTTAGTTCTTATACACTTTTGTCCTTTGAACAATTGAGGTCCTAATGAGCGAAATTCTCAATTGATGCGAATATATTGCTTTAATCAGAAGTTATATTGTAAGTCTTTTTAACTATTTCCTTTACATCATGAAATAGACAACACCCACTCTCAAGTTATAATATGTTCACAAGGAACTCCATCTTATCCACCTTAATATGTCGATCTATCAAAATTGTCCAAAATATACTCGGAAAAATACTGATATTTCCCATTTCTAAAAACGCAACTTTTCAGTCTATTAATGCGCATTTGATATTGATTCCTTAAGAACTACTCTTCTTATGATGTTCTTATTACCAATTGACGATGTTGTGAGGAAATGTGTTTAGGCACAAAACTAAGAAACAGTACTACTTTGAGAAGGAAAATATTCTATATGTGCAACAAGTTATGCTATATATTTCAAAGTTGAAACTTGAATTTTATTATTAAAATTTCACTTCAATTATTCATCTTGTACACTACTCAATGAGGATTCAGAAAAAGGACTTCCTAGACGGATTATAATTTCATTTCGTGAAGGACAGACCACGGCCTTATGTGATGATGAAGGTAAAGAAGTTCTCTGACTGATGCCATTGTCATTCTGTACAGCCCGTATCGCTTGCCGACAATAGAGTTAGGAAAGAAGGAGATGGCTCTGACATGCCATTCAATTTTGAATGCTACATGTGATATTCGCCGAGGAGAGCGAGATAAAAGTTTTTTCGTCTGATGATGTGTCATTATTATTTAGTATAGGCTTTTAGTATTGGATGCTTTAGAGCTTTCATGATAGGAATCCACTATAATAAAAGTTCATTGTGGCTGCTTGCGCTGTATTTTTGATGAGATATATCTCATATTGCAGATTGTCAACGTAAAATATGGAATTGCTGACGTTTAATACTACAAGAATTAGGGAGACATGTGTGCGAAAACTTGTTGACTGATTTCATATCGATAGTGATAATGTTTTGCAGAGTAATAGATGCTTTGATGTCATGTAGATGATTATGTTATCCTTATATCCTGGGAAAAGTTGTTGTGTATTTAATTCGAAATTCGGCATCGGTTCTGTTTCCGTCGCTTAGGAAGGTGGAACTGAGAGAACGACCGGAGATTTGATCAGATTTATGAGGAGAAATTGTGAAGGTTAGTGGTACAACCGTGATTCTCTGTTTTGCAGGAACTAAGGTTCGCATGTGGTTTCACCACCAGTAGAGTACTCTCACAGAAAGTTTATGCTTTGTCCAATAATCTATCTATGCAATCGTTGTAGTTTTCTACGAGGAATGCCAAACATAGCATTGGTCGTTTTATGCATAGATAGCATTATCGTGGTCGAGAAATTACTGTTCATAGATATATGACTTCAGTGCATTGCTAAATGGTATTCAGAGAATTTTAAAAAAGACACAATTGAATGGTTGAAGCCTAATTTCAATATTTGAATTCATTTTTCAGGGTTGACACTTCCGTTATCCACGAAGTTATTCGATTCAATCAGACAAACATATCTACGACAAAATCAAATTAAACGTATGGTGAACGAAGAAAAATGTTTTCCTATAGAACAAAGCTACATTAATCTTGCAATGGTAGAAAATAAGGAACAACAAGAGAAAGAGAAGAAATTGAAACAACAGAAGCAAGACACATCGAAACAAGAAAAATATGATATTCTTGGCACTTATGAAGAGATTTATGGAACTAAAACATCTATAAAAGTAGAAGAAATTTTTCAGAAATCCGACGACACAGTGAGGAAAATCCTAATCCTTGGAAGAGCTGGAATCGGAAAATCAACATTCTGTCAATATGTCACTTATCAATGGGCGAAACGTGAACTTTGGTCTGAATACGAGCTTCTCCTATTAATTCAGTTACGAAAGCTGACGAAAAGTCGTTATCCACAAGGAAAAGAATATTCACCATGGGATCTAGTCAAGAAAGAATATTTCCCATTCGAAGACATAACAAAAGAAGAAGAGCAATATTTTAACGAACAATGCAAAGCGGGAAAAGTTCTGTGGATACTTGATGGTTACGACGAATTCGCACAGAGTATTCCAGAACAATTACAAGACGTATTCACTCATGTACGTGAAACACAACGTCATATCCTAACATCTCGTCCTTATGCTATTGTGTTCACATACGAAGTGAAAATGGAAATAATAGGATTTACCGATGAAAACATTCTGAAATATATTGAACAATTCTTCGATCAGCTAAAAGATGAAATGATTTCAGCTGCAACCGAAATTCAAAAAATTAAACGGTTCCTAAAGACTAACCCCAGCATTTGGGGTATTGCACATATTCCAGTAAATCTTGAACTAATATGCACTGCTTGGAGTAATACAGATTGGTCTAAAATAACATCACTCACAGTGACCACACTCTATGAAAATATTCTGGAGTGGCTGTGTGTACGGAATCTAAAGCGAAGAAATTTATACAAAGACGGCATGCTAAAGAACGATGTTTATGAACTGTGCAATTCACAATTACAATTTCTCGAAACATTAGCATTTGCCGCAATGGAAAACAACATGATAGTATTGCATCCAGACTTACTAGAACAGATCAGAAACGAACACACACTTTCATCAGAGGACTTTCGGCACACATTAAACTTCGGTGTACTAAAATCATATGACGATCAGATTTTAGGATATGGGAATCCAGCGAAGCAACAACACTACTTTATTCATCTGAGTTTCCAAGAACATTTTGCGGCTCGCCATTTGCTCAATCTTCTTAAAAGTTCGAAGAAGCAGAGGGCTGTCGATTTTATCAACAATAACAAGTACGATCAACGACTGCGGCTTGTATTCATTTTTGCTTCAGGTCTTCTAGTACACTCAGACTATAAACCAGTTCTCAACACCTTTTGGACAGCTCTACATTCAGAACCATCCGACCTCGTGGGCCTCCAACATATTAATCTTCTGATTCACTGCATTGATCAACTAATCAACCAAACATTATTTCCGGAATGTTTAGCCTATCCAGCATTGATATCCAACTGGATTTCTAACTGCATCAACGAAAAACCGCGGATAATTATTCAACACCTAGTCCAATCTCTTCAATGGGCCACAAATCTTCTGAATACAGAATTTTTTCAAAACACGCTAGCCAAACAACTGAACAAAGCAACAGAAGACAAAAAACACGAAATATGCCAAATCATAGAGCAGTTACACATATCGAAACCAACACCAGAATGCCTTACTGCTCTACTCAACACAATGCACGAAGAAGATGAAGATGTTCGAATAAGTGCTTGTCGGGCACTGGGAAAGATGGGTGACAAAGCAGCGACAACTAAGGTCATTCATATTCTAATCAATGCAATGGATGATGACTACGCGAGTGTTCGATGGAGTGCTTGTGATGCATTGGGAAATATGGGTGACAAAGCAGCGACAACTGAGGTCATTGGTGCTCTAATCAATGCAATGCGTGATGACAACGAGAGTGTTCAATGGAGTGCTTGTGATGCATTGGGAAAGATGGGGGAAAAAGCAACGACAACTGAGGTCATTGGTGCTCTAATCAATGCAATGCGTGATGACGACGCGAGTGTTCAATGGAGTGCTTGTGATGCATTGGCAAATATGGGGGAAAAAGCAGCGACACCTGAGGTCATCGGTGCTCTACTCGATGCAATGCGCAAAAACGATGAACATGTTCGAAGAAATGCTTGTCGGACATTGGAAAAGATAGGCAAAAAAGCAGCGCCCAATAAGGTCATTCTTGCTTTAATGAATGCTATGCGCGATGAAGACTCGAGTGTTCGACAGAGTGCGAGTCATGCATTGGCAGAAATGGGCAAAAGAGCAGCGACAAATGAGGTTATAGGCGCTCTAATCAATGCAATGCGTAATGAAGATGGATATGTTCCAGAAGATGCTTTTGATGCATTGGAAAATATGGGTGAAAAAGCAGCGACAAATGAGGTCATTGGCGCTCTAATCAATGCCATGCGCGGTAGAGATCTCATTCTTCGAAACCGTGCGTCTAAAGCATTGGAGAACATATGTGAAAAAGCAGCGACAAATGAGGTCATTGATGCTCTAATCAATGCAATGCGCGATAAAGATGCATATGTTCAACACTGCGCTTATAATGCATTGGCAAAGATGGGCGAAAGAGCAGCGACAAGTGAGGTCATTGATGCTCTAATCAGTGCAATGCGTGATGAAGATGTTTATTTTCCAGAAAGTGCTTGTCATGCATTGGGAATGATGGGTGACAAAGCAGCGACAAATGAGGTCATTGATGCTCTCATCAATGCAATACGTGATAAAAACTCGAGTGTTCGAAGAAGTGCGTGTTATGCATTGGGAAAGATGGGTGACAAAGCAGCGACAACTGAGGTCATTGGTGCTCTAATCAATGCAATGCGTGATGACAACGCAAGTGTTCAATGGAGTGCTTGTGATGCATTGGGAAAGATGGGTGAAAAAGCAGCGACAACTGAGGTCATCGGTGCTCTACTTAATGCAATGCGTGATAAAAACTGGAGTGATCAAAGTGCTTGTGATGCATTGGGAAAGATGGGTGAAAAAGCAGCGACAAATGAGGTCATTCGTGCTCTAATCAATGCAATGAGTGATGAAAACTGGCAAGTTCAACGGAGTGCTTGTGATGCATTGGGAAAGATGGGCGAAAAAGTAGCGACAAATAATATCATTGGAACTCTAATCAGTGCAATGCACGGTACACATCCATATGTTCGATGGAGTGCTTATGATGCATTGGGAAAGATGGGTGAAAAAGCAGCGACAAAGGAGGTCATTGATGCTCTAATCAATGCAGTACACAAAGAAGTTCAAGATGTTCGAAGAAGTGCTTGTGATGCATTGGGAAAGATGGGTGGAAAAACAGCGACACATGAGGTCATTCTTGCTCTGCTCAGTGCAATGCGCGATAGAGATTGGACTGTCCGAAAGAGTGCGTTTAAAGCATGGGACAGGATAATTGAAAAAGCAGCGGTCAATGAGGTTATTGGTGCTTTAATGAATGCAATGCGCGATAAAGACTCGAGTGTTCGACGAAGTGCGTATCGTGTTTTGGCAGAAATGGGCGAAAGAGCAGCGACAAATCAGGTCATAGGCGCTCTAATCAATGCAGTGCACGAAGAAGATGAAGATGGTCGAATAAGTGCTTGTGATGCATTGGGAAAGATGGGTGAAAAAGCAGCGACAAATGAGGTCATTGGCGCTCTAACCAATGCAATGCGCGATAAAGATGCATTTGTTCAACAAAGTGCTTATGATGCATTGGGAAAGATGGGTGAAAGAGCAGCGACAAATATGGTCATTGTTGCTCTGCTCAATGCATCTAATGAGGTACGAGAATTTTTGAAATTAGAGTTTGTCTACGCTGTTGTGCGGGCGATGTGTTCCTATGCTGCTTTATGCAGACTTGAGGGGAAGATGATTGGAAGACTGTACTCATGTATAAGAGCCTCGAAGAGTATAGGTTTGGAATTAATGGCTGCAGATCATTTGCTAAGAGTTTATTTAGAAACAAGAAACAAAGCTTGGCTACCTGTCGTGGCTTATTGTGGGATGCTTCAAGGGTTGGCTATTACAACTGTTGGAAGGAGAATTAGAATCTACAATGGTAGGGAGTGTTTGGAACTATCTGTTTCCCGCCAAGAATTGATGAACGATTTGGTCGAAGCTCTCAGGCATCAGAAAAAACAGTTCGACGAAGAATATGAGGGACACTGTGAAATCATTTAACATTATTTTTCAATGAAAATTTGTAGACAATTGTTCAAATTATCACTTTCTGTTTCGTATGAATACAGGTCGATTACATTAATTTTGATCAATTTTACTACACTTGTCATATCTTCCTATTGTATCCAAGATTTCTAACTTTTGTATGGTTATATAGAGAATGACGTGACCTATTGAATACCACTATTTTTCATTCTTTTACTTTTAGGTTAAGAAAGAGAAGCTAGAAAGTCTCGAAAGGTGAAATAACACTTTTTCACCTTAACATGTCATAGAGACGATAGCAGTTTGTGATGGAAATAATTTCAGATTGTCGAGAGTTAGTAAATATGGGTCTATAAATAGCACATGATGAAATATTTTTCAAATTTAGTAGTAAATTTCATTTCAAGATCGGGATTATAGATCAGCATACAGTGGTAGATTTTCAGTGATATTCGCACCGTTCGAAAATCAATTACATATAACAATGAAGTCATGGCCAGTCGATGCAGTCGTTAATGTATCAATGAAGAATACTCAAATAAATAAGGGATTGTCACGTAACTGGGAATCTAATTCATATTTGAGATTTGATAACTAATAAACTGTGCAAAATTTTTGAAATCTCTTGCTAATCATGAGAATAAATTGGACGAAAATCATACAGTTCGATAAAGCGATTCAAACAACATTTATTTGTGTGCAGACAAAGCGAGTTTACTGAGCAACTAAGTTGTAATTAGTAAATTTTAATTTCAGAATTCTACCGCTTGAAAAAAAATTTTTTGCGTATTCTTCAAAAATTGCTGGCTGCTCCGCCTTAGATACAGCATAAATCAATCGAAAATAGTAGCATTTGATAGACTGAGTTATTCCCTATTCAATTATATCAATGTTAGAAGTTTTTCATATAACAGGAAGATATAGTGAGTGGAGTAAAAATGATCAAAATTAACGTAATCAAGCTGCAGGCCAATTATGGAGTCGTTCGTTTTGGAACCTTCTGAGTTCTGGACTTTTCATGTTGTTCCAAATCAAATGACATAATGAAATATATGTCGGAATAATGATAAACAAAGCGCTTCGTCATATGAATGATGAAAGGTTTCTGTTATTTTCGCATTGAAATATAAATTAATATTTTTGCCAATCAGTTACAGCAAGAGGGAATTGGGAACAAAGAAATTCCAGTTTGCTGCTCTAATAATGTATAAATGTTCGTGCTCGTAGAAGATAATATCGGTATTTTATGTCTCACACTTGCATCGACAATCACACTCATTCTTAACATTACTGAATTTAATTATCCCCTTTCCGATAGCAAATATCAGACTATATTTGCTTTGTTATATCGATAGACATTTCATGAAGAAATGACTTGTTTCGAATAGTGAGAAACATGGAAGTTGAATCGATTTTGGTATCGATCCTCCAAGAATTTAAGGTTCTATTATCAATTAGAAAATGCAAAATATTACATCCTCAAGATTAAATTTCTTGTTTCCAGCAATATCGTGTCACACCTATCCTCAAAAATAGACACGAAAACAGAAAACTCCGTACACATTTTTCTGAGATTTCTCTATTTGTAAATTTTCTAGTATGTAATTGAACTGAGGCACTTTTCTGTGATTTCAATGTGCAATCGAAAAAGCTCACAAACTGTATTATTTTTGTATTTTCTTCTACTGCCAGTGAGAGAACTGAATTGTTAAGTGTGAGATCACCTCATTTTGCAGCTCCTTCAGTGTTTGACAGCGTTCAGTTTTTTTCCAGATCATAAATTCTTCTTTTGGATGCCAATAGTTATGGAAAAAGAGAAAAATGGTAGGGGTGGGTGTGGGTGTGGATGCCAATGAAGAGAAGAACCAAATCCACATCCACGCCCACATCCTCACACCTACCCCCACACCTACTCCCACACCCACACTCACACCCACACTCCACACTCCACATCCTCACACCCACACCCACAAGCACACCCACACCCGCACTCCACACTCCACACCCTCACACCCACACCGACACCCACACCCACACCTACACCCACACCCACACCTACACCCACACCCACACCTACACCCATACCCACACCCACACCCACACCCTTTTTAATACAACCTATTAAGTGATAATAAAATCAAATGCAAAAATGTTCCGCTCATTATGCTCTAATGGTACCAACGAGTTTGCAACAAAAACAGTTCTTATCGAAATTTTATTATTATAAGATCAATTGAATAGTGATCAAATAGCATAGAAAGATAGAGCAAAAGACGCTCTATCTTTTCATAAAAAAGCAAATTTTTCCAAGCGGTCTAGACGAAAATAAGATAGGATGGCCACTCCTTTTGGAAAGCCCTAAGTATATATCCTATCTGTTACTTCCAGTCTCAAGAATTTTTCAGAGTAATGCTTTATGCTCAAAAAAATGCTCTGCCTAAATTAATTCATTTTGTTTATTCATCTCACTTTTCCTCTACTTGCACATAAAGAAAAACTATGTAACGGGAAAGTTCTATGAATAAAACGTGATATTGGAAAGGATACTTTTCGTGTATCAATTCATGAATATGTCGCTTTATAATTTCTTTTAAAAATAAAAAAGAAACGAATGTTTCTAACTATTGACAAACGATTAGAAGATTGGAACTTTTTCAAATGAGTTCTTTAGCTTTCCGAAATTTCCTTTGTCCAGTTATTACTCATGCAATGATATATTAAGGCGTAGAAAAGGTTGAAAATAGCCTTTATAATTCAAAAGAGTCTGGAAATTTGCTATGCGACGGTTGAAGATCATTAAAAATTTGTTGAAACGTCGGCCGGCTTCGAGGATCACGGTGCCAACATTTTTCGATGAAGTTCTTCAAGAAGGGTGGAGTTCTTGAACTGATTCTTGGTCGATTGCCTAATCTAGCGTAATTAACAGCAGCAAATGGTCCTCGTCCCAGAAAATTCCGGAATTGGTCGGCATATGGTTCTTCTTCCTGAATAATTTCGTTTAACATAACACCAAATGAATAAACATCACTGGAGTAATCTGGTGGAGTTGAACTATTTATCAGTTCAGGAGCCATATAGCCTGCAGTACCACACACTAGTGCATCACCATCATCAGATGTAACTGAAGAGGCAATAGAACTTGAAGTTTTTCCACGAAGTATTGCAAAACCAAAGTCTGTCACTTTAGCTGTATAATCTTCTGAAACTAAAACATTTTGAGGTTTTAAATCTCCATGAACAATATAAACATTATGTAATTGAATCATTCCGAGAACAATTCCAAGAATAAGTTTCTTCTTTATTCTTCCGTCTGTTATTTTTGCTTCTATTTGTGGATCTTCACAATAATGAAGCAAATAACTTAAAGAACCTAATTCAACATATTCCATAACAAGACAAGGTGGTTCTAATGTATAACCATATAAATCGACTAAATTTGGATGTTTGCCTAAAGTCGACATGATTCGAATTTCTTTGACGAATGATTTCTTTTCTTGTCTGGTCAATTTGTTTAAATGTAGTTGTTTTACTGCAACAATCTGATCATTCCATGTAGCCTTATATACAATACCAAATGAACCTTGACCTAATTTATCGTCTGGATTAATATTCAAATCTCTATAATTAATAACTGGAATTGTTTCGGAAATTTCGCTGCGCATATCATATTCATCATCTTGTCTAATAGTACTACGCATCGTTCGAGAAGAATATTGACTACGGCTTGCTGATGTTTCAGGTGATATATCATATTCATAAGGTTCATCATCATATTGTCTACCACAATTTCGCATTGCTTGAGAAGCGAATTGACGCTGAATTTCTGGTGTTTCGGGTAACATTTCATATTGAGGCATGTCAACATTATCTTCTCTAGCATTTTCCACAAGATTTCGAAAGAACATGTCTTCTAATTTTTGAAGATAATAGGCTAATCGTTGATCTGGATCATAGTTTGTTGATGGTGTATCTTTCCATTTCAAGTACTCCTGCGTTATTGCTTTTGAAATATCTGGGGAACCATCTTTTGTTTTAGGTATCCATGAAGGAATATCTTCTGTGCCGTTTTGGGCTTGTTGTCTAACCCATTCTTTAGCAGCTGTTGTTCTCATATCTGGAATACCACTTTTTGTCACAGGAATGTGTTTTGGTATTGCATGATCAAAAAATGTGTTTCCACGTGCACAATTACTCATAGCACTTTTAGATGATGCATATCGCATGTCTAAAGTACCATCTTTCTTATAATGAAGTCCAGAAGAATTAGGTGTTCGATTTGCATGACTGGAAGTCGCAGAAGATGCAGCAGTTTTTGAAGAATTGTATCGCATGTCTAATGTACCGTCTTTCTTGTAATGAACCTCGGAAGAACTAGGTGGCCGATTTATATGAGTTGGCTGAGCAGAGGGAGCAGCAGCTCTCGATGAACTATACCGCATATCCAAGGTACCATCTTTCTTATAATGAAGTCCAGACGAACTTGGCGGTCGGTTTACATAACTGGACTGCGTCGAAGGAACAGCATGTCTCGAAGAACTATACCGCATGTCTAATGTACCGTCTTTCTTGTAATGAAGCTCGGAAGAACTAGGTGGCCGATTTATATGAACTGGCTGAGCAGTAGCTTTCGATGAACTATATCGCATATCCAAAGTACCATCTTTCTTGTAATGAAGGCCAGAAGAGCTAGGTGGACGATTTATTTGACTAAAATGCGCAGAAGAAGAAGAAGCAGCTCTCGAAGAACTGTATCGCATATCCAAAGTGCCATCTTTCTTGTAATGAAGTCCAGAAGAAGCACTCGATCCAAAAGACATTGGTGAAAAGCTTGGGCCCGAAGAATATCCAAAAGAACCCATACTAAATCCAGATGACATTGCTGCTCTTGATGAACTATATCGCATATCCAAACTTCCGTCCTTCTTAAAATGAAGAGCCATAATCGTTTGTTCAAAGATAATTATCTGCAATTGAAAGTAATGAATAATACAGCTTAGACGTTTTCACAATCTAGAATTTTTCAACAAATAAAAGATTTCAGATGAATCCAATGAGTTCTTGAAATACAAATCCTTTAGTGAGAATACATTTCCATCCTTTTCGGGTACTTGTTCGTTAAAGTAATTCGTTTTCTTCATTTTACAGAAAAGTATCGTCCATGATCACACTCTAAACATGTTAACGTTTGACGAATAATCGTCTTGAAGTGGAAATATCCGCTTGAAACCTGAGCGATAAGGTTAGAACTTTGGAGACCTACACATATATAGCTGATGCTAAATTAGTATGTCTGTGGTCGATTCGACGTTTCAAGTTTAGCAATGATAGATTCCGTCTAATCCTATTTCCTGGACATCAAGCATTTCGTTCTTCAAGAAAAGAGTCAGTTGATAGAGCTCGCTGAAGAGGTTAATTTGAAACTATGCAGGAAACTTAGGCTTGGCCAAGGATGTTACTCAAAACTCGATCAATTCAGGAAAGAAAAGAGCTATACGTGTTGTCCATAGTATAACTGAAAGATGTGGATTGTCAAAATATAATTTTAAATAGTCTAAATCTACTAAATAAGTACTCATGTAAACATTTTTTGTATCTAGACGAATTCGAAACTATCACTCAGAAGTCGTGCCTCTACACCACTGCGCTATAAATGCTCGAAATGTTTTTTTCGTTTGAAAAAAAGGAATCCCTTAGGTCTAGTTTCATAACTTGAAATGATCAATGTAATAGTATTTACTTTTGTAAAGACTACAATAGTATACATTCAATGTACTTTTCTACTTTTTTCTAATAAAGTTAGAAGTTTTAAGTTTTAAAGAATATGTTTTATATTTTGTTGATCATGACGAATACTAGAAAATATATTTTACTTTTGAGTGCAAAGCGTATTGCATCGGGACTAATTTTATATGAAACTGTGACAGTTGGGAAATTATTAGGTTGGTACATAAGTTCTGCACGTTTCTTTTGTTTTTTTAGGCAAATTTAAGGCTTTATATCTCGTGATTGGAAAGCGATAGAGGTCTGAGATTTTTAGTATAGATAGATCTCTATAAGTTCTATCTATACTAAAAATCTCAGACCTCTATCGCTTTCCAATCACGAGATATAAAGCCTTAAACTTGCCTAAAAAACAAAAGAAACGTGCAGAACTTATGTACCAACCTAATAATAACACTACTACGTATACGACCTGAATGAAAATCTACTAAACCTATAACTCAAATAAAATTTGAATATTGAATTTAAAATTATTGTTAAACTAAAACATCTCATTGGCTAATCTAAACAAATTTTATAAAATCTTATATTCTGCTATTGTTATTTAAGCATGTATTTAAAACGTCTTAATATCATGCGTCTATTTTGCGTTTACATGGGAATAATACATTCTCCTAAGTTGGAAAGTATTCATAACCAAAGTTCGTATATCTAAAGTTAAATCATCGTGCAAATTATATGTATCTTCTACCTACCATCTGCCTGTACGATGAAATTTTAAGTTACAACTGCATTGAAAATGTGTGTTATTTATTTGCATTCTTTGTTATTGGGTTTTTTCCCACATGCTCACTTAATATTTCTGCCAGTTGACTCATGTTGCCATCGAGAACGTAAAAGAACGAGAGAAAAAAAAACACAAGAAGCGCATGTCTATTCTGTTGTGAGAAGAATTATTTGCATGCGTCATTATAGTTCGTGTTACATTATATATACAGCCACTCTTGCTTTGCTGAGAGTAAATAATATCTCTGACTGGGAAATCGTATATAGAGAAATACTCATCTATAGCCTACGACAAAAGTTTAAGCCAGATCAGTTTTTGAATATTTTTTTCACATTTTTCTTTTTATTATTTTTTTTTTTCATATAAAGATGTACCGATCTGCGTTAATTAGTGATATAGATAGTACGAGAAGCCAGCTACTTGATGTGTTATAGATCGAGGCTCTGCCTGTCTATATAGATTTATTCATAATTAAAATGATTTTTTTCTATGTAAAAATATGTTTAACCCTTTCAATACGGCATGTCATCTCGTAGATGACATGCATATCGTAATATAGAAATCTTGCGTTCTGTCGTCTTCCTACAGTATAGATATCATATGTGTGTTCAGAGAAACGCATATACACACTAAAATAAAATGTGTCGTATATATGTGTCGTACAAGAATGTGTCGCAGGCTCCATTACAAAAATGTGTCGCACAAAAATGTGACGCATTATAGATGTGTCATAGCCTATATGTCAATCGTTCATTCACCGATTTGTTTCGCGAGTGCAGCTGCATATAACCGAGCCTATTGGACGTACTTGACTTATACATCTTCGTATGTCTTTTTTTCTAGATTATTTCTCGACCATTTATTATTCGAGAACATGTCGAGAGGCCGCTAGATGATCGAGAATGGACTGCCTCGAAGTGGTCTGATCGAGATCAAATGGTCTCGAGGCAGCTAGATCTTAAGATCTACCGTCTCGAACTCCAAGAATAGGTGCTACTGTTTGAAATTAACTGAAAAAATAGTAACTATTCGAATTTTCAAAAAAAAATAATCCTCGTGCTTAAAGATGGATTCGAACCACGTGTTAAAAATGTGTCGCATGTGTCGCACAAGAATGTGTCGTACGTCCGCTGGAAGAAATGTGTCGCAACGAGCTCCTCGTGTCGCATATTAATGTGTCGTACATTGTGTCGCAAAGTGCGACACATGCGATACATTTTATCTTAGTGTGTATTCTTCGCTGTGAAATTTTTTTTCGTACTGAACTAGCGCAGCTGAACTTCGTGTACAGCTGGTTATCTAAATAAGAACGCAAGAGAGAGAGAACTCTAGATTTTCTTCAACCTTGTATAGAATGATAGAAAATGTCAGGATTGAAAGAGTTAAGTGCCTTTCAGTATTTCGCATTTCCTAACCAAGAGATTTCTGCTAAAGTGAAAAACAAATACATCAATCGATAGAGAATTTCATGCTCTATCAGTTCATAAAAAAAGATTTTTTCCAGAGTCGATCTTCACTTCCAAAACTTGATTTTAGTGAGAATAGTCAGCAAAACGGAAAAAGTGAAATAATCTTCCGCAAACTCCCTCTTATCACAATGTTTTATAGACTACTGGGAAGAGCATTCAAAGCTGAACAAAATGTTGCATTTGAACTTCAGATATCACTGATTTTTCTGGCCCACCTTATTGAAATAAAGTTTTAAGAGACATAACTAGCTTTTGTTTCTGAATCATTTTGATGGGAGAGGATGTGGATGTGGGTGTGGGTGGGTATGGGTGTGTATATGGGTGGGTGTGTGGGTGTGGGTGTGGGTGTGGGTGTGGGTGTGGGTGTGGGTGTG